TTTATGGATGTTAAATTTTTGTAACTCCATTTGGTATGCGCTTTTCATTTTCAAAGTGCAAGATGTTTAGGTGTCGTCTAACCCGGCTTAGATACTTGAAATCCATGAATTGGCTATAGTGGGATGTTTCTCCTACTCAGATAGTTGCGTGACAAATGATGGTGGCGTAGTCAAAGGAGTAACTACCCGCCTTTCGAAGGCAGCTTACGCCGGACTGAAACGCCTTTGGCGCAGATGTGATTTTTCCTTGAAATTGAATGGTCGTGTATACGGCGACAATTTGCGGCCAGTCCGGCTTCACGGGTGCGAGACCCTTTATTTGCGCGTGGAAGATATTCATCGTTCGATTGCTAACGTTTACGGAGTTTAGCGGGGGTTGGATGGAGCGAGCGTGTAAGCAACTCTGAGGTCAGTCATCGAGTATTTGGTATTGACTCACTGCCAGCTTCGTTACCGAATAGAATTCCGATCAGTAGGTTTCGCTGGTTAGAACGCATACTGAGTATGTCCAGTTATCGTCTACCTCATCACACCTTATTCGCAGTCGGGGCTCCAGTTAGGAGGAAACCCTGTGTAGGGTAACAGATGAAATAGAAACGAGGCACGAACAAAGGAACAGGGTGATTAGGTAGATTAGGTGTCTCCTGTCTTCCAGTTTAGAGTGCGTAAGACTTGGTACTTGGTTGTTGGAAACACTGAAGGCTATTTGTAACTAATCAATAGCAGTGGCTTTTTTGTTGTCCTTTCTTATCAGATCAGAATGCTTGAAGAGTTATCTGTGCACAGTTAGATTATGCATTGTGTTGACCATGGTTCGCCTGTTTACCATGGAAAGCAGCTTTGCAGTAATAGTTTTTTTTTTCAGAAGGATTGTCTATCCTCCTTAAAATGCCTCGTTTCAGTAATCCGTTCTGCCATTTGAACTGTAAAGTCACGAACCATACTCAAATTGAATAGAATAAATGTGCTATTGCGTCAGATGGCAGCAAAACATTCTGGTCACGTGTAACATCATGGTACAGAGAAATACAACGAAGCCAACTTCAGTGGTCCTTGCCAAGCTCACAATGTACACAAAGCAAGTGAGGCTGTGCGTGAAAGCCAAGAAGACTAGCAGAGTTTCCCCAATCTCGATGGTGGTAGCCATGCGGTTTAGGTCGCTGCTACTAACATGCTCTGGGTCCTAAGATTTAAGTTTTAAACCCTACCATCGCCACCCAACGTTGTTGGAGGGCTTCTGTGCTGTTGCCCGGCTAAATACCACACCTGGCCTATTCGAGTCACATGCAGTTTGCTGCTCCCAGCTCCCTGTACAGGCCGTTTCCATTACTGAATAGTAGGTGCATGTGACTAGCCCAAGTGGACGAATAGCATAAGAATCAAAGCACCGGGGTTCGGGCCCCGCCATTTTCAACGCGCTACACATTCGGATTGCCTGAGCTGACATTCAACAGCATACTTCACATCGGCGCTTTTGGATGATATTTTTAAACGATTTAAATCTGTTTGCCCATCCGGAGAGTGGTTTATTGTAACCTCAGAGCTCGCTTTTCGCCGTTACTGAAGCGGCAAAAATTTAGTAAGTGCATTCACCACAAGCACTCAAAGATATTATCTCATTGCTTTCATCAAATGTTAGTTAGTGAGTTAATGATCTTCGGAACTGTGATCACTAGATTTAACGCATCAGTCCAACTCAGAGTCAGGAGGTTCTGATTCCTGGTCTGCACATATGCTTTTCTAGTCCCATTGGAGCCTGCTAATTTTATACTAGTCCCATGAACGAGGGCAGCGCGCAGTAAAGTTCCTTCAACTTTCTCCTACTTTTTTACTGGAGCGACTAACTCCTACATGAAGATAAACCGACTTCTCGCATGTCTCTGATGATGACAATCCTCGCTTCGTGATACAGTATCGGACCCACTTCTGGTTCCATTTACTAATTCGTGGCTCAGTCCTTCCGTATCCCCCTTGGTCGTATTGCGCCAGGTCTTTAGTTGGCCACCAACTCAGAAACACCATCCACAGTAGGGTGTAGAAGCTAGGGCTTGTCGCGAGAGTTGAGTGTCATGTCTTCGGAGCACGCGGCCAAACCACCGAAGGCGCCGTCTTAGCATTTAAGGAATCTTGTGGATGTTCGTGCGGCGCTGTCGAACCTCATCATTGAAAACCCGATCTCCCCAATTTACTTTCAAGATGCGATGTAAGCACCAATGGTCTAAGACCTTGAATTTTATTATATCTTGTACTCGTAGCAGCCATGTTTCACGGCCACAAGAGAAGGTGCGACAGATGGAAGCCTGCTAGACCCAAAGTTTGGTGTGTAGGCTTACTGCGCATCGGTTCCACAACAGGCTAAGGACTTTCCAGAGGGCTCTTTTAGCTCCGTCTATACGAATTCGGATTTCATTCTTGGTCTGACCGTTTGGCCTGATTTTCGAGTCAAGATACCCAAACACTTGTTTAATTGAGTAAGCTCCCTGTTCATTGAGAGAGACTTCATTAGGGTAGAAGTTTCTGTCAAAAATATCTTGGTTTTCGACTTGGTGATCTGTATTTCAGTCTGTGTTTCACACACAACTGAGTCTAGATAGTTTGCCAAACAAATCATAGTAAAATAATCTTTATGGAAAAGCGAAAGTTTTTCGATTTGCTTGTGGTCAGAATACTGCCAGGTTGTCCAGACCAAGGCAGGTGGATTTTCTTGGAGAATTCACAAACGGATCCTTTGACTAATCCAAGCCTATTGGGCAGAGAGGGAGGGGTGAAAACTGCAATTCATTGGGGAGCCGTTGTCCAGTTCTTCGGTTCTAAAGCTATTTGGACGGGGCCCAACGTCCAAGGTGTCCAACATGTCTCGATGCCCAATCTAGCCAATGACCATTGCCACAACGGTGTGTGAGAGTGATTCATGCGCCTCTTTTTGGTTTGTTTGGAATCAGGGTTTTTAGCCAACTCCCGTGGGTGGACTGTCAGTGGTTCACCGACCTGGTTGTAGCCCCGGATGTTCTCTTTTCGTCCTCTCAATTTGGTGGGAAAACATCGTCATGGGAATGCAGTGAGTAGGGCTTCCTGAATAGAAGCTATTTGAGACACTTGCTCTTGTAGGAGCATTTTGTGAGATGCATGGGAAAGGTGATAAGCGACAACCTGAGACACTCACCTCGACCATACTGAGGCTTTCGGAGGCACGTTTTGATCTCTAGTCCACTAACCTGGAAAAGCTAGTTGATACGACCAACAACAGATTGGAGGTTTCCGACGGTGTCCATAAATAAGACGACATTGCCCGCAAACTGGAGATCCGCGATCCATCCCCCTGCACTCTTGGGGTAGCCAATGAGTGCTGACTGCTTTATCCAATCTGCGGTGTATTTAGACAACCCCAGTTATAGGGGACAGTCTTGCCTGATTCCAGAGCCTAATGTAAATTCAGCTGATCCTTCTCCGTGCGTAAAGACCCCTGCCCGGGCACCTGATTAGTATTACTTCAAAACCTGATGAACTTCTCGGGCATCCTGTCGTACCTCAGTATGTACCACAATGATTCTTTAGTTACAGAATTAAGGACCGAGGTCGACGATGCGCGCTGTAGTTGATTGTTGGAACTTCTAGTGTTGTTCCTTGACCCTGCGGGTAGTGAAGAGTTGCTGAAAACAACCTCTTCCGTGGTGAAACCGTCATTGGTTCTGGCCGCTGCAAAGCTGTTAGACAGTTTCGCCGCAGACCAGTTGGCCACAATATGGATGAAGCTGATAGTTCCTTACTTTCCGCATTTCCGTCTATCATCCTCTTTGCAAATAGGAACTGAAATTGCGGTTGTCCATCCCTTTGGAAACACTTCCGTTTACCAAGTGAAGTGGAGAAAAGGGTGCAGGGGATCAACTAGAGTTGATAGAATAACTTTGAACAGTGCTGGAGGTGTCCCGTCCTCTTCAGGGGCCCTTCTGCTTTTCAGAGAAGTGCCTGTCTTACCTTAATTGTTTCTCCCGCTCAATGATGAGTTATCATGCCTTATTGAATTTATTCGTGAACTACAATGGTCTCAGTTGAGTAATATACTTCCAATGTATTCCTTTACACAGAAGTAAACCACATGAATCTTGTGCTGATAAAGCCCTTCCCACTATCTTCTCATGGCGGAGTTGTTTTCCCACCGAAGTGGGAGGACAAAAAGCAAACATCCGGGGCTAAAACCGGCTTAGTGAGTCACTACCAGTTCTTCTAGGGGCTAAAAACTCATTCCAAACAAACCAAGAACAGGCGTACGAATCACTCTCACCCATACCTTCGTTATGGCGATATTCACCGGCTAGATTGGGCATCGAGGTACATTGGACACTGGACGTTTGACCCCGTCCAAAGGGTGTATGATCCGATGAACTTGACACCGGCCCCTATGGATTACGGTTTCCCCACTCCATCCCTCTGCCTTGCGGGTCGGGCTTTGGCTAACCTAAAGCTCCGGTTGTGAATTACCTAAGAAAATCCACCTGCCTTGGCCTTGGTAACCGGGTAGTATTCCCCCCACGTACAAATCATGGAACGTTTTTCCTTTTAATAAAGATTATTTTACTATGATTTGTTTTGCACACTGTTGAAACCTAAANTGTGAAAAAATATATAACATATATTTGAACAGTGATGGTGGTGTCCTTTCTGCTCCATGGGTCTTTCTACTTTCCAGAGAAGTGCCTGCATTAAGTTAACTGTTTCTCGTTGCTCACTGATGAGTTGTCAGGCTTTAATAAATTTTTCTCGTGAACTAAAATGATCATTCGATGCATTGTAATAATAGTATCACTAGATTTTATAGCTCCGCCATCAATAATTCGTTAGTGAATCGCATTCGTGTTTTCCATCGATACCGTCCATTTCCTGCTAACTGTGGTGTAATTTCTCTGTTTGGTCTTGGAATTGATTATTTGGAAGCATTTTTCTCTATTCCCAGTTCGTTGATAGATTTAAACACTGCTTCACTTTCGTTTCTCCTCCTCAAGGTGGTTCTTTTGTGGATGCAATGGCCGGTGCCATCGAGAACGCAGCGGCTCTGGTACTCGGTGTTTCGCAGTCTTTCAAAAATTCTCCGCATTGTAGACAGGAGGTGCGGTATGCGTATAAACTGGGTGTTCCTCTTTATCCACTCCAACTGGAACCGGATTTCACAGCAGATGGTTGGCTCGGTTTGGTCTTGGCCACCATAATCTACATCCCTCTGACCGATGATTCCATGGTTGTAGATGCCGTGGATCAGTTGGCCATTCAGTTGGGTGATATCGGTCGATGTCCACCACCGTTGCCAGACACCGTGGACATTCCGGAATTTCTACGATCCGGCTCATTGATGACGTCATTTTCCAGTTTTTCCGATCAATATCCTTTGTACACGCGCGAAAATCGTCGGCCATCTGTTGTGACTGGAAGTACTCGTGCCAGCATGTTGCGGGATGTTGAACCGACAGGATACCTCAGTAATTGTCTCTTTTTGTCTCCTTATTGTCTGTCTTATTGCATATGAGCTGCTTTTTCTCATGCGTCTGCGTGATACGTACACCAATGTTTTACTGTGCAGAGCCCTTCCAGCCTTACTTAAATGTATGCATTCATCCACTGGTTCATACAGGTCGCGTTCGGCCTTCTGGATAGGGATCTCGTGACCGATGGCTAGAGACACTGAGCGATATGGTTGAGTGTCGCATATAGTAGAGCTCGTGTATTTACATATTATCCTTGCTCTATTTTCACACTAATTCTGCTCTCAACATTCCATTCTTCCTTCTACTCTTTTGTCGAAATAAGCAACCGAAAGACAGCAACCGGAACCACCGCACGAGAGTGCAGGGTTAATGGTTGTGTGCACCATGCATCCAGATGGGTTGATGTTACATTCACACAGACGTGTATATACACTTTGTGACCCATATAAGTAAACTTACAACAAAATCAAACAATGAGTATGTGGGCATTAAACCAGTTCTGTTGAAAGTGGTCCAATATAGAACAGTTTTCGACAGTTGGAATACGTGTTTGGTATTTCACCAGATTGATTTCCTCAACGTTCGATATTTACGGAGCCACAGCGATTGAACTATGGCCATGAAGGTACAAAACCTCAACCAATGCAAGCGGTCACAGATTGATCGTGTTCACGGATGCGTGGACACGTCTCATCTTGTTAACAAAAACCGACTGGGCTTCCTATCTATGTGTTGATAATATAATTCGAAGTTGTTTTTCCTAACATCTCTAGCCACTCAGGCTGCAAAGTTTGTCCACTTTCCGTGTCAATTATCCAGGCAATAGGATTACAGAAACGGTATCACAGGCATTGCAAGTAGATTACAGAACACCATTATACTGTGATGTGGTTAGCTCAGCAAAATATATCACTCACTGAGCTCTCCACTCAATCGTACAATGTCGCATGTTCTCTTTAACACAGATGATTTGTATTTCGCCTGTTCGCGGAGCTTGGCGATTTGTTTGCAAACGTTTCATAACCAGCCGAGGTGACATCACCGGTGTTTGTGAAGTGGCATTCACTTCACTTCACCGAGCCTTTTGTATGCACGCCGACACTTCATCTGCGATGCATCCGCCAGGTGAGATAT